TGTTCGTACGAGCGCCCTGCGCTCCGAAACGCGCTCAGCCCTTCGCAGGAACGCCCTGCGCACCGAAGGCCAGGCTTCCCTATAAATAGGATGCGAGGCAGCCCTTATTTCTCTCCCCTTTCACCACTTCTTTCTCTCTCTACTCTCTCCCTAGCCTCCCTAAACCCCCCCCCCCCCCCCCCCCCTAAAGCCTAGGGAACCTCCCTAACACTAGAAGGAAGCCTCGGAGCGCCCGACGGCTCCGAAAAAAAAGAGTTTTTTGGCTCAGAAGCTCTGCTCCAGCGGAGCCCGGTTTTTAAGAAAACCCGCTGTAAGTGAGATACGCCTACCCTATTTTAAATATAGCTTATATGTAAATATAATATCGTTATTATGAACCTATAAATAAGATTTATCAGTGATTCAAATTCGTTATACTGATTGAACTACTTACGGGAGAGGTGTCTAGAATGGTCACGTTGGGTTTGGTTGTTGGATTTCAAAAAAGCTATATGCCGAAATGATCCTACCTCCCAACTGTCCTGCCTGGCTGATCCTTACTTGATAGATCATGAAGTAGACTCTGAGTTAATGATGAATCTATACTAATAATTGGTCGCAATGAATATTAGACTAAAATCTAGTGGTAATGATACTAGGTTTCGTCGAAGGAAAATAAAATAATAAAAGCGAATCGCTGTCTGAGTTCGGAATCACCACCTTAACAAGTGAGTGCATAGTTACTTTCATCTTACAAACAGATATGAAGTATTTTATATAAATTAAGTGTTATGTGTGTATATTATCTGTTTACTTGATATATATGCTGGATGAACGTTTTTATACATGTTTTAAATGATTTAAACTGTATATGTATTTTATATCTACAAAAATGTTGGGTATAAGATGGAATGATGAAATAGATGATGTGTGATAAAATGATGAGAGGCCTCGATGTTTACGATGATCCAGTCATCTATCGGAGTATAGATGACGACCACGGACTATTCTAGACAGTCCACGCAACCTATAGGTGTTTATTTGAACCTAGTGTTCGCGAGCAGTACTCCATCCCCCTCATGGTTGCCTTATTTGACATAAATTGATGAGGAACCCCCGAAGCAATGTTATCACCCCGATGAAAATCCTTAGGCTAGGTCCCTTATATTAGATGCTTTAGGGACGTAAAGTGAGGATAACGAGAACGGGTAATCAGGTTTGTTTGGTTTGATGAAATTAATAAACTTATTATTGTGGGTTGAAAACCCTATGTGCTCACCAGGCTCCCCAGCCTGACCCACTCAGTTTCTTGTATTACAGGTAGTGGCACAAGAGCATAGTTGAATGACTTGACGAGGGATTGTGGATTATAGGCTAGTAGATATAAATAAATGTTGTAACGCCTATGTTGTTCTGTTTATGCTTTTGATCTGTGTCGAACAAGTCATCCCAAGGTTTTAATATAATGAAATACATTTCTTCGAAAATGCTTTGATAAATCTTTATCACATTTATCTTTTGGGAACAAATTCCGCAACACTTTTCTTTAAAAGGTTACTCTGATTTTCAAACAAAGCATAAACAAATCAGTCTTTTCTGGACGTGAAAATGGGGATGTCACACCAACTCCCAACAAAGCCCTAGGGGTTGTGACTTCCCTGTTACGCGTACAGGTCATGTGCTTTCAGTAGTACGGGCCCATACTACCTTCCACACCTACCCGTATTTGTCTCAAAGGATCATCACAACAACCCTAACAATACACACTAGCATACGCATACACTCAATCGTCACTCCCTAGAGGAAGGCTAAACATCACAAAACTGGCCGGCTGACCCCACACAACTCATTCATGAAACTTCCACCAACCCTGCAGCACTCGTCTATGCTAATCATACATAACACTGGACCCTATAGACATTTGAATACCTGATCCTACCCTAAGCCCTTCATCAAACAATAACAGGAAATAAGGCCAAACCAAACATTCTCGGGCTATAGAATCTTAGTTATGTATAACCATGATGCATACACTAAGCAACTACAGTAATGATGTCAATTTCATATAAGGAAGAACCCAAGGCTATCAGGCATCATATAATCATGCAATTCTATCATGCAATCCTTGAAGATCCCTATCCTATCACTAGCATGTTGTTCTAACATATCGCAAAATCAAATAACAGTGTGATAATTTGGGGTCTACTTACTAGCTCCGGCTGATCGTACATATCGCATCCTCTTTGATTATTTTGAAAACAATTTGAAAATCATTTTTAAAATATTTTCCTTAGTTTGAGACTAGATTCACACGAGTGTTCCTCCAATTCACTCGAACCAAGGCTCTGATACCAACTTGTAACACTCATAAAAATCATGATAAATTTATACTTTTTAAAACCAACCGATTTCACAAATTGTTTAAAAACATAGTTTTCAAAACATGTTCAACATCAGAGTCTCCCAAAATCATAAGTCAAAACATGAGGATGTGTACGGTCATGCCTTCTCTTTCCCGCGATCATCCGAAGTACCTGAAACATAACCCAAAACTGTAAGCCAACGCTTAGTGAGATCCCCCAAAGTACCAACACATAACATAAGCATAATACAAACAACATGCATACAAAGCCTTCCGCCTGACTGGAACGCCCCACCGGCCTACAGTCTATCGGGTGCGCTCACAGAACCTTCAGCATGACTGGTACATGAGGATGTGTACGGTCATGCCTTCGCTTTCCCGCGGTCATCCGAAGTACCTGAAACATAACCCAAAACTATAATCCAACGCTTAGTGAGATCCCCCAAAGTACCAACACATAATATAAGAATAATACAAACAGCATGCATACAGAGCCTTCAGCCTGACTGGAACGCCCCACCGGCCTACAGTCTATCTGGTGCGCTCACAGAACCTTCAGCATGACTGGTACGCCTCACCGGGCCTTCAGCCTAATTGGAACGTTCTCCAGGCCTTCGGCCAGACTGGTACGCCTCACTGGCCTACAGTCTATTCGGGACGCCTTGGGTCTCTTGGCCTTCAGTCTACAATGGTCCGCCTCAACCCAACCACACATAAACCATGTCGACATATACATAACAGATAAGCATACATATAACCAGTCAACAGACAATCAGACAGATCTTACAGATCACTAAGCATAGCATCATCCTATCTACCATGATACAGATCAGATCACTACAGCATACCAACATGCGATAAACCAGGATAACGATCCAATGGGCCGGACTTGGTGCCTTCGACCTAAAAGTACAGTGAGGAAAACTCACCTCGCAAACTGAACAGAAGCTGATGAGGTCCCAACTCCGAATCTCAGCTCTCTAACCGACACCTAATCCCACCAATGACCAATTCCATCAAAATCCCAAAATACCCTCAAGGTCAAACTTGGTCAAACCTAGTCAAAGTCAAAGTCAACTGGTCAAACTCACTAAGTCAACTGAGTCAACCCAACCAAGTCAACACATCCGGGCTGACCGAGTGCGAGTACACGAGGCGTACTCTAGAGGTACGTTGAGCGTACTCCAAACCCTTACAGTTGACCACCATCGGGGTGGTTGACCTCGCGTAGGGCGTACACCGAGTACTCAGGGCGTACTCCCGCATCCTTCAAAACTCAATAAGTGCTTAATGGCTTAAGCACTTACATCCATATTTCAGATCCAAGGCTCAAATACACTCTAGATTCATAAAGTTTCCAACTTTATGACTTTTACATGCCCATTAAGTGCTTAACTCAAGGTCTTAATCCATTAAGACCTTCTACAAGATGCATGGAGCAAAACTAACCATTGGGACTTCATTTTTATGACTTAGGACCCCTCCTAGGGTCTGAAAGGACAATTCATATTGTCAAGAACTTTTTCGTGCTCAAGATAAGACATTTGGAACCAAAAAGTATCACTAAAACACCTATTTCTAGATCTACCTGATTGAAATATCAAGTTGCAAGCTTTATACCTTTGAAGGGTTGCAAATGAAGAGTAAATCCCAGATCCAAAGTGATTCACTCTCCAAAGATGATATTGGCTTCCTTCCTTCTTCTTCTAAGCACACAAACACACACTTTTAGGCTAGAAATGGCTTCTCAAAGAGAACTAGGGCTTCAAACACGAATGAGAGTGTGGAGGCTGATAAGGTGAAGGGAAATGAGGCCATAAGGATGCTTAAATACCAACCAAACCGTAAAAATTAGGGTTTCCTCATTTAGTGAGTACGCCCAGCGTACACTGATGTACGCCCAGTATAGTAGGGCATGCCCTAGTGCGCTCAACGTACACCACATACGCATGGCGTACTCCGAAGGATCCTAATTACAGCAATGCCCTTCAACCCCTTTAGCATACAATTCTTGAACTTTGAGACCAAATGCAATATAAATGAATTAAAGGGGGTTTAATTTATAAGTATCTCGCATCGGGATGTTACACAAATGGATCTAGTACATGGTGATATGGACTCTGCAGATCCACCACAAGGGACGATAACTCTATTTGTCATGATTTACTGATGCTTCAGTAAATATCATTGTTGTAAAACTCTGCAAGTTGACTGATTACTCAGCCGAGTACTCTTTATTCGGCCCCTTACCGAGGCGAGTTACAGAATCTGAGTACTCCCCCGATTGTCCCCTTACTAAAGCAAGTAGTGTTGTAAAAATCGGCTAAATCGGTGATTAATATATATATATATATATATATATATATATATATATATATATATATATATATATATATATATATATATATACACACACACACACACACCAATACTCAACTTATCTCAACCAATTCAAGGATTCTAACTACTGATTTTAAAATCCAAAAAGACACCATAAGTTCATAACAACAAAGATCAGATAATTGACTACCTCTTACATTTACAACCGACCAACAAGACCACAAAATGTAACAAGGTAATTTGCAACCGAACCCACAAGACCACAAAAACTTAAAAGGTTTTTGTCATTATCCCAAAAATAAACTAAGATTATAACAGTTCCAAGTGATATACAACGACAACTCATTAATATCTGATTGTTTGCGGGTATGTATACACCCAAAACTTGGTGTAAAATTCCTTCTTAAAAGATAATAATCTCAACATAAATTATTAAGACTCTAAATCAAAATAAAATAAAAATAAAAAAAGGTTTAATCAATCAATCCTCATCGTCTTGAGCATCATCATCTTCTCTTGTTCCATAATCAATCCATGGTAACATGGACTCAAACAAAACCGCCAATGCATTCCTGTTTGCAACTTCACGAGGGGCCCGTGCGGGACCCGGACCCAGACCCAGACCCGGAATATTTTCTTGGTTGTCACCAACAACATTAACATTAACATTATTATTATGCATGTCCACCAACCTCGGATCAATCATAAAATTTTGCAAATTTTCTGGAGGGATTGTTGGCGTTGAATCAGAGAAATCAGATACCATCAAGTGTGAATACCTGTAATAATGTAAAACAATCATAAATAATCTTGCATTTAAACTATAAAAATTGAGAATAATTTCAAGAAAATGCATACTCACTCGTTTTTATCGGATGCAAATGCTTCTTTTCTCACACACTCCCAATCTTTAGCTTCACTTCGACTAATTTCCATCTTTTCAATTACTGATAAAGCCGTATCCTTAAGAAAATTATGAAGCTCAGGGAGTCTCCATATAATATAACTCCTTTCAACATAAATATTAATCAAATGATCCAATGATTCACTCCCACTTTGATCCATTCCAAAAAAACCATGATTAGTTATCTTCGTCCACACCTGTTCTTTCAAAGGAACTTTACCCACCAACTTTTTTAAAACCAATGGATGAAGCATTAAAGCCTGTTTCATAAGATCACTCGAACTGGACTTATCTTTTTCTTTTTCTTTTTCTTCACGTTCAAGATAAAACCGACAAATTGCAAGTGAATATGAGAAATTCGGATACAACCACATGGAGTTATCGCTATTATACTCTTCAGAAAACGTTTCCAACCATTTATACTCTTCGGCTCTAAGGGCAAAATAGTCAATACAGAATAACGCGCCCATTGGGTCATCTGAGTCTAGGGAAACTAATAGTTTGCATATTTCAAGAGCTGAGCGATGACACCCGCGTCTATCCATGTTTTTCATGTGGGAAAAGAGTGTGGTGAAAAGCTGTTGATTTGTTTCATGTTTATATTGTAATTTACAGGTGGCTTGTAAAGGATTGAATAATGGATGCCAAGCACATTCTAAGGCGTATAAAGATTTTGAAGTGGCATCTGCTGACATTTGGAGTTCACCTGAGAATTTGAAGTATTCTGCTAGGGTTGTGAGGGAATCTATATGGTAAGGGTGGTGTAAAAGAATACTTGCTATGGTGTTCAGATCATGTGATGCTTTTGCAGCTTCAAATTGTCTTTGAGCTAGGCTGTAGGTTGATGATGGCACATACCTAAAAGAAGTCATACAAATGTAAGGTTAAAATTGTCTTTTAGTACACTAATGGGGAAATGGGTAACAAAAGATATCATATGAATAAAACTTACCTGAAATAGGTGAACCCATCTTTGTTTTCAAGAAGCTCCATGGATAGAGATCCATCCCACCTAGGCCAATGCTCTGAGGGAGAAACCATAATTGTTTTTCTATGGGTGTGGGTGTGGGCCCCACGTCTCCCTGTTCGACTCTGTTGTCTAGAACTTCCTGCTTGATTTTGATTACTTCTTTCAAATGAACTCACAACTTTTGATCCAAATATTCTCCTCAGCTCATTTTCTGCACTAAGAAATCTTGGATCCACTTGCAGTATGTTTGTTGTGCATCCTTTCCTTGGTCTATGTCTATCACCCTCATCATTCACATTTTCAGATTTCTTTCTTGAAGACCGGGTTTGACTTTGACTTTGACCACCAGATGAATTGACTCCAAAAGATAAATCTTCTAATATGGCATCTAAGGAATCCACAGTGCCTGTAGTTGCCTTGTTTTTCTTCTTCTTTTTCTTTTTCTTTGATTTTTGACTGGATGATATGGCATTGGTAGCAGTATTTTTCTTACTGGGGAGTAAATTGTGTTCATTTTTTACTGTAGAGGAGGTATCAACATCACTAGCATCATTCTCCTGAAATTGAGTGTTTGAGACTGATTATGAAATTATATGAACTGTAGAAGTTTGCAAGTAAAAATACACATGTTGAGAAACATAAGTTATATAAACCATAGAAGTTTTTTAGTAACCTCTTATAAAATAAAGTACAAGTTTATGTAGTAGTATTATCATACAAAAATGCATCAGAAAGTAAAATGATTTGACTATTGACAATGACAAAATGTCTATAAGTAAAAGATTGATACTTGAAGGCCCATAAAATCATCTATCACATTAAACTATATGCACAAAAGTCCTAGATCAAGTCATCTAGTGATACTTAATCATTAACAAAAACACTATCAATCAAAAAGTAAGGAAAGAAAGAAATAAAAATCTTAACTTTATGGATTGTTAAGAGTCCAAAATAGTAATAGCGAAAATAAAAAATGATAGACAACTTTGCATGTTAAAGTCTAGTTGAAATCCAATATTTATGCGGATTATGAACTTTTCAAGAGAAATAAAAATACTATGCAAAGTAAAATCAATACTTTCTCTATTTCAACAGAAGTTAAAGTTTTAGCATCAAACCTAGTACTTGAGGAACACAAAGTTGATATGGATTTATCAGTAATCTACCAATAACATTGTTGAGTTTGTAATACTTGTTACAAAGTTTCATGTATTTTACAAGTATTTCTCCAAAAGTCAAGAACCCAAAAACTTTAACTTGAAAAAATAGCCCTTTTGATGTCCTCAAAGTCAGGGTGTAGCTCTTACTTGGGAGAGATGGAACTAGTGGCATTACTGATGCTCAATTTAAAAGAAAGAAATCGCATCACGTGTTGCATAAAACGTACTTGAATAGCATACAAAATCAAAAGTGTGGGTTTTTTTATGAAATCAAGAAACAAATAGATTATCACGAGCAATCAGAAACTTAGCTCAAAAAGATAATTGAAAATCAGGAAGGTCCAATAACACACATAAGAACCCTATTCATCAGGAATGATTTTTAAAAAACAGAACCAAGATTAACTACACCAATTAGCACTAAGCTAAAGAACAATGAAAGTTCAGCTATTACGATATAAAACAACAAAAATCATCGTGTAATCAAACGCACCTGTTCCTGTTCCTTCTCCTGCTCCTCCTCTTCGTTGAGGAGATCGAAAGGATTAATTGAAGAAGGGCGGGGTGAATTGGAGGGTGATTCCGACTCATCATCATCGGACAATATGATGTCTTGATTCTTTGCTGATTCTTGTTCATTAAGCACCTTCCTCAACGCTCTGGCGGACATCGTTGTTTCAGCTCTGAATTTGTGAATCCGAGACCCTCCAAGTAAAAACCCTCTCTAGTCTCTTTCTTATACATAAATTTTCCATCTAAATCCTCCATGTTATGTGAAATTTCATAAGCCCCACCAAGGTTTTTGATTCCATCATTTCACCCCCCAAGTTATGATATTCTTCCCTCCTATGTCACCTTCCTTTCCTCCTCCAAATTATTACTTTTTATTTATTTAAAACTTAAATAAATTATTATTAAATATTAAATATTATAAAATTTTCCATCATTTATCGGTCATATAAGGAAGGATTTTGTAACACAACAACATGTATCTTGTGGAGAATTCTATCCGCATCCCATGTTAAAAACCATTTATAATGGTCAAAACCATTCATGATCAATTATTAAATATTTAATGATACCTGATGTAATTTTTAAAAAATCTTTTATTTTACGTTTTATATTTTAATTTTATTAGAAAGACAGTTATCTTATAAATTTATTTATTTAAAAAATATGTTTTAAGATGAATAGCTTAAATTTTATTATATTAGCTTCAATTATTTTTATTTATCCAGTTTCATAAATTAATGTGAACTTCTTAATAACAAAATATTCATATTTCATGAATTATAAAAAAGTAATACATAGATTTTATTAATTATTGTCATTTATTATTTTAAAAATTAAACATTGTTATTTGTTATTTAAAATGTTAAACGACATTATTTCTTATGTAAAAGATTAGAAAACTATTTTTTGATTAATTGAAAAATTACTTGAAAAGGTAACTTTAAATTACTTAACAATAAAAATAATTAGAAATAATATTAAATTAAAAGTATAATTAACTATATATACATAAAATAAAAAATTATTGTACCTTGAAAACAATCTTTGGTATATAAAAACAACATCATTGTTGAAATTGAAAAGTAAACAAATAACTTGTTAGAAATTAGGGGATGAATAGATTGTTTGGATTCTCTGAAAGTCGTGATTCACTATCAAATTGAAGTATTTCGATGGTACAGATCGAACACTCAATTTGATGAAATTCAGAGAATGAAATCTGAGAATGTATGTGAAAATATTCTTCAATATGTACCAGAAAAATAACCAAAAACGGATATATCATTCCTGTCTGAAAACTGTCAATAGACAGTTACCAACTGTCATAAAACTACCAAACGTGTCATTAAACGGATCTCAGGGAAAAAAGGGTCAACTTTCTAAAATTGGATTTTCGATCCCAGCCAGGGGCTCTGCCCCTTGGACCCCGCCAGGGGTTGCCACCCCTGGGACCCTGCTCTCAGGGGCGCTGCCCCCGGACCCTCGTTCGTTTAGGGGCTTCGCCCCTAAATAACAATGTACTTTGAATCTTGAAAAACTTGAACAAGTGTGCACTCCTACACCATCCTAACTTGTTCAATATTCAACAAGATCACTTTTGGTCAACAAATTTAATCCTATTACACTTAAATAATATTAATGATATAAAATCACCAACATAATTTTGAAATTATAAGGTTAAATCATAGCACCTAGAAAGCCCACGTCAGATCATTTTGATGGTTTATCATGTGGGAGGTAAATTATGAAACACTAACCGTATATTAGGCGTATAATATTTGAATCTTGCATATCCTTTATGGAATTTTGTATGAGTAACTTTTTGATTCATTAACCATAACAATAGTTAAACAATAAAATAAAAATAAAAAATTATACATAATTTATTTATTCACAACTCGTGAGTAAAGTCTATTAAAATATATTGTTCAAGATAAAGATTTTTCTTTAGTCATATAAATTTGAATTCTACTTTGTAGATTACATTCGATCGTCGTAAAAGTCTTTAGTTTTCAATGTTCTAATAGACGTCAGTTATCATATTATTAAGGTTTAATAATGATAATGTTATATGTGAACTTTTTATATTATCATATAAATTCTTAGTTAATCGTTAATTACAATAGGTTAGTTATTTTTAACTATATATATATATATATATATTATATATATATATATATATATATATATATATATATATATATATATATATATGGAAAACTACAATAAAGTCTCTACATATAGGTCTCATAATCGATTTAGTCCCTATATATTTTTTTTTATTCAATTAAGTCTCAAATACCGGCAATCGTATTCAATTTAACACTTTGACACTGTCAACAGGTTATCCAACTTTTAAAAATTACATTTTTTGTCCAGATTTCAAATTTTATTACAAATTCAGTCCAAAATTAACACTTTTGGCCCAAATTTTAAATTTTGTTACAAATTTGGTCCAAACTTGACCCTTTTTGTCCAAATTTTAGAATTTTATTATGAATTCATCCTAGATTTAGTTTTTTTTACAACATTTTTTTCTCAAATAATTGTTTTTAATATGTTTTTTCTTTATAAAATCATATTTATACAAAAAAAACGTATTTTCACATAAAAATCTTATATTTTCTATATAAAAAGTTTTTTGTATATATGAAATATCTAGTTATAAAAATAGGTATTTATTAAGTATATAAATATATACAAATCCGTTTTTATAAAAAAAATGTATACAAAAACGTATTTTACAAAAAAAATGTATACAAACATGTATTATATAAAAACGGATTTGTATACATTTTTTTTGTAAAATACGTTTTTATATACATTTTTTTATAAAAATGGATTTGTATAAAATCATATTTATACAAAAAAAACGTATTTTCACATAAAAATCTTGTATTTTCTTATAAAAAGCTTTTGTATATGAAATATCTAGTTATAAAAATAGGTATTTATTAAGTATATAAATATATACAAATCCGTTTTTATAAAAAAAATGTATACAAAAACGTATTTTACAAAAAAATTGTATACAGACACGTATTATATAAAAACGGATTTGTATACATTTTTTTGTAAAATACGTTTTTGTATACATTTTTTTATAAAAACGGATTTGTATATATTTATATATACTTAATAAATACATATTTTTATAACTAGATATTTCATATACAAAAAGCTTTTTAAAAAACGTTTTTATATAAAAAATATAAGATTTTTATGTGAAAATATGTTTTTTTTGTATAAATATGATTTTATAAAAAAAAGCATATTAGAAACAATTTTTTGAGAAAGAAATTTGTAAAAAAACTAAAATTAGGATGAATTCATAATAAAATTCTAAAATTTGGGCAAAAAGGGTAAAGTTTGGACCAAATTTGTAACAAAATTTAAAATCTGGGTCAAAAGTGTAAAGTATGGACCGAATTTGTAATAAAATTTGAAATCTGGGCCAAAAATATAATTTTTCGAAAGTTGGATGACCTGTTGACCGGGTCAAACGGTTAAATTGAATACGATTACCGGTATTTGGGACTTAATTGAATAAAAAAAATATATATAGACTAAATCGATTATGAGACCAATATGTCGGGACTTTATTGCAGTTTTCCAATATATATATATATATATATATATATATATATATATATATATATATATATATATTATATATATATATATATATATATATATATATATATAGAGAGAGAGAGAGAGAGAGAGAGCTAGGTTCAGGTATTTAAAGTAATTATTGTGTTATTGTATGCATAAATGTGTGTCAATCAAAAGTAAATAAAAAATTAAATAACTAAATAAATAAATAAGGGTAATTTAGTAATTTGATTAGTAACTTCCAAAAATAATCTCTATAATCATGGTATTGACTTTTAACCTAATTTCTCAGGTTTATATTAAACTCGTTTTTTTTTTCTTTACTCGCTCAATCTCTACCGATTACAAGCCCTAGCCGATGATACAAAGCCGTCGCCATCATGCTCCGCCCCAAATTTCTCTAAAAGTCATCTTCCAGTACCTTCATCCGCCCATTTCTACTTCGAACTCCTGGTTTACGTCTCCAAGCTACCCATCGTCCTCCTAGTTATCCTTAGGTTATTTCCAGATGTCAGATTATTTAACTACGTTACTATGTATTGTTGGGAACTCTTCATTTGATGACTCGATGGATCAGGAAGGTGAGAATCCGGCGGCGGATCCTAGGATATGGAATCGGAAGCGTAATGATATGACTTTCTTCGGAGATTACGATGAAGACGATGACGAAGATGATGATGAGGAGGAGGAAGATGACAGGAGCATGGATCTTCTGATTAGGTTTGTTGAGAACGTGTTTAAGAAGATATCTAAGCGAGCTCGCAAAGCCGTTCGATCCGTTCTTCCTATCAATATCCCCACCAAATTGGTACTGATTTGCATTTCTCAAGTTATCATTTTGATCCAATTCGTAGGTTTTAGCTGGTTTTTACTACAATTGAGTTCAGATTACTAAAATTGGGGCAAACTCGATTCAAATTCCATTCTGATTTATTCGTTTATACACAAAATAAACGAACTACAAAGATTTTTTCTTTCCCGATTTGATCCTTTTTATATATGCAAAGTCAGCAGCTTTCCGTTATGTTCTTGATATGTATTCAATTTCAACCTTTCATTAACCTACTTACATCTTGTTCTGAAATTGGCTATAAAAACTTTCATCTAATACCTTGTATCTTGCATTCTTACTTTGACATTGTTCATTCTTTATTACCATACGAACTTACTATATGCTCAATGCCTTATATAGGTGGGATTCTCTGTTAATGGAGTTATAATCACGAATTCCAATTCTGTTGGAATGGAATCATGAATTCTAATTATGTTGGAATGAAGTCATGAATTTCAATTCTGTTGGAATGAAATCATGAATTCTAATTCTGTTGGAATGGAGTATGGATATTTTCTCACTGATTTATGCATGTTCTACAATTCTTGGTTATTGGTTTTGGTGCAATTCACAAGTCCACATATTTTTCCAAAGGAATTTAGTTTTTTATTTTTCATTTGCTAATGCATTATTGGAATCTAAACTACAATTTGGTTTTGTTTTCACAGAAGTTGATGCTTGAAGAACGGACCACAAAATTGAAAGTGATTCTAAGCAACATTATTCTTTTAGAATGTATTAGTGTCGTTGTTAGATTTT